ATTAAATTAACTGCGACCAATGCAGTGTAATTGCATTAGAGTTTGTTCGAGTAAAGTTGTATTTTTATCTTTAAACAGTCGCACAGACTGTTCGCGTATTAGAGTCAGTGCATCAATGAAGATTTCAAATTCAACGCGTTTCGGGATTAAAATAAAGTGTGAAATTTGTATGTTTCAATAGACTGTGTGCAAAGCAGTCTTTGAATTAGTTGTAGAGTCAGTGAACGGGCGTAAAACAAATTAAAATCAAGCGCGAATTAGAGTCAATGTTGTTCGCCGTATAATTTAATTTCGGTTTCGCGATAAGAAACTCATCTATAGTTTCTTATTTTCGTTTATACCGCGTCATTAGATTCACGCGAGATGCATTACCATGATGCCATTGAGCTTCATCCCTTTGGAATGCATTGTAAGTATTCATTTTTATTAACATTTTATTCGTTTCTGTTTGATATGATTTTGGATCATATTACATATAACTTATCATTTTGTTCTATTTTATATTACAGATATGACGACGGACTTACTATCTTATCAAAGATGTGGGATGAATTCTTCGATGGATCTTCGATGGATCTTCAATAGCAAAGCAAGGAACTTTACAATCGTTAGACTGCTGTACTTGCTGCGAAGTAGGAGTGTTTTGGAGCCATCGTAGAACTTCTTACAGAGTGAATAAAAAAATTTAAAGTCCCTCCGGTACTCAATCATGTCGAGGATGAAAGGTCCAAATCGGCACGAGTAACTGGTTGTAATTAATTAAATAAATTATTGACGAGCACATGAGTAATTCATTTCTAGGAGTTACTCATGAAAATTGTATATTATATTGTATATTTTATATTAGTTCAGGATAGGTTTTCTTGTCTCATCGGTTAAATTCATTTAATTAATAATGCAATTAATTAATGCACTTTCTTTTTTATTACGTGTTTTGTTTGTGGCTAGTAGTGGTGAAATCGAGCATTAATTTACTCGTTTTCGTCCAGAAAAGCATGTAATAAATGTCTTACATGCATTGCTTCGTATTTAGTTTATCTAATCGCGATTTATTTCGGTATATCGATACTTCGATATTATAAATAAATGAGCAAGAAAGCAAACTCATTCGCGACGGATAGATTCTAGCAATTAAGTGGTGGCTCAAAGCCYAGTTCTTTTATTAGAACAGCCAACTTAATGAAAGGAGTCGTCCGAGGTTGTTTATATATATTTAGTTGTCTCTTTTAAAATTTTTAAATATTAAAGAATTAAATTTAACTATTCTTGCATAATTAAAAAGTCAAATCTAAATGACTTGTAGAGTCTTAGCCCGCTTAGATGAAATAAAATGTTTTGATATATATTATCAAATAAAATGCTTTGATATGTTTATATATGTTAATAATGTTTTTTTAGTTCAGGATTTTCAGCTTCTAATATACTAATCTCCCGTTTCTCCCCCCCATACTTTCTGCGTTCTCATCTTTGCGTGTGCCCAGGCGTTACACGTATGGGTGAGAAACAGTTAGTGTGGGTTTAGTTTTAAGTTTTTCCCCTCCTATTGGCGGCTGTCATTGTGCTAGTGATTGCACGGTGTACATTGCACTTGTGTGTGCGTTTAGGTGTGTGCGTTTAGGTGTGTGCATTGTACATCGTTTCGCGATACGTAATACCGCGCTTATTATTTTTTAAAGTTATTGAATAAAAGTAACTTGTAGAGTCACGCGTACGATACGAAATTTTTTTTTTTAACAATCGTTTTGCATAGTAGAGTTACCGCATATATTTGCAGAAACTTTGATATACTCGTATATAACTAGTATGCAATATATACTAGTTTATATTTATATTTTTGCATTAGTCATTTATGCAATAATCACTGTACTCCCATAAATTTAGAAAACGCGTTTGAACTAGGGTGTCGGAGGTGCCCCGAGGCATGCTCTCTAGTTTAGGCTTTTGCACCCTGGTGGTATGTGAGAGAATCGTAAAGTGAGTGGGTATGTATATATGTATGTTTGATCTTTTTGAATATGGGTAATAGACAAGCAGGTAGCATACTT